TCTCTCTCTCTCTCTCTCTCTTTCTCTCTCTCTAAGTCTAACACGCACACACACACACGCACACACACACACACCCTCGCACATGTATTTTTTGTTCATTTATACACTTACAATGTTATAATGTTATGCATAAATAATGCAAATGGATGCATTTAGGGATGCATATATGTTATATCCCTGTACATGTATGAAAATACATACTTATTAAGTGCAAATGTGTAAATCTATATCATCATCATCATCATTGCCTTTTTCACCCTGGGTCAGGATATAGGCCATGAACACTCTTCACCTTTCCCTTCCTGGGCTAGTCGCTTGATATCACTCCACGTCTTCCCACTTTTCTGTACATCCATTTCCGTGACTCTTCTCCAGGTTCCACGAGGTCTTCCCCTTGATCTTTTACCCTGTGGGTTCCAATCTAACACTTTTCTTGTTATGCAGCTGCTTGACTTCCTGAGAGTGTGTCCAATCCATCGCCAACGTCTTCTTCCCACCCCATCTCTGACTGGGCTCTGTCTGGTTCTTCTTAATACTTCCTCGTTGGTGATCCTATCAAATCTATATCAACTCTATATAAATGTGTTTTGTGTGTCTGTGTGTGTATGTGTGTGTGTGTAATTGTGTGTGTGTGTGTGTGTGTGTGTGTGTGTGTGTGTGTGTGTGTGTGTGTTTGTCTGTGTTTGTGGGGGGTGCCTTTCAAGGGACAGAATTTAAACATGTCTACTAATGGCCTACTGAGGCCTATTCAAGCACATTTGCAATGAATTTCAAATTACAATCATCATTATCATCATTATCATCATCATTATCATCATCATCATCATCATCATCATCATCATCATCATCATCATCATCATCATCATCATCATCATCATAATCATCATCATCATCCTCATCATCATCATCATCATCATCAATCGATGTATATTAATATTATTTTGTTCAATGCTAGAAAAAGCAGATACATGTAATGAAATAAGTAACTTTCGACCACCCGCTCTTAAATCAATAATCCCAAAGCACCTTTCGGGCATGACCTCACAGCCACCGTCATATATATGTGAGCTCTCTCAAAGGGGAGACCCCGAATGTGCGTACTAGATCAAGTGCATGTTCCAAATTGAGGACTAAAGTTTACTTTTTGTCACATTACTATCACCTGCGACTGAACAGTACCAACGTCGGAAGCAACCGCGTAAATCTATACTTTCCATTTTTATAATAATAACAATGATAATGATCATCTTCATCTTGATGATAATAATAATAATAATAATAATAATAATAATAATAATAACAATAATAATAATAGTAATAATAATAATAATAATAATAACAATAATAATAATAATAATAATAATAATAATAATCATAATAATAATAATAACAATGACAATATATCATAATAGTAGTAATAATAATAATAATAATAATAATAATAATAATAATAATAAAAATAATAGATTGCATTTTTATAACGCTCAATCACACTCAAGTATAAGCTCTGAGGGCTGTTTAAGCAATAATTTTTAAAAAATAGTGAATCACGGTAGCCTAATCTCAAGGACCTCAGAATAAAACCATCTTTCCTATCTTAATCTAGATGTGAGAGTCGGGCAGCGCGCTGCGCAGGTTGACCATGGTTCCGCTGCGAAAGAGGGCTTCTATCAGGCGTGAGTTGCCGCCCATAAAGCAGCCTACATTACTGTATAACCTCCTTGGTCCTAGGCCTACTTTTTTACTTTCTCGTTGTTGTTTCTGTCTGTCTGTCCGTTTCACTTTTTTCCAGCACCAAATGACCTTTATTGTGTCGATGTGTTTGTCTTTATGCAAACAAACATATATTATTATTTGTTTTATCCCTTCAAAGGTCTTCACAGTGACGATCCACTGGAGGCATTAGCCATAGATGAAATCTGCCTGCTGAGGGAAGATTTGTTGATTCAAGAGGTGAAGCATTATCGCGAGAAAGATGAGGCAGAGAAGGTAAGAAATACATGAAATACATGTACTTTGTAATGTTCATAGAAAGAACAAGTCTTTTCTTTTCACGCTGTAAGTTGTTAATATGTGTTGGAAGATGCCACTACATCTTTATTGACCCTTTATTGTTTCTGTTTTTGTGCGTGGTTGGCGGGTGCTCTGATGTTATTTGCTCCTTCTTCGTATCAAACATTGTCGTCCTTATTTCTCCTTCTTTTTTTGTGTTTGTTACTCTCTTGTAACACCTCTAATCTTCGGCACTCATATGACCTAGATCTAAGTGTGTTGCAAGTGCAGTAAAACTCTCACGAAAGCTAAACAAACTTGTTTCTGTTTGTGTAACTTACTCTTTCCCGGCACTAAATAGCAGCTTTCGTGTCTTTGTACAGATCTAAGTTTGATCAAGCCATTTATAACATTCCCCTGCAAAGAAACTGCGTGGACAGTTGAGCAGGTCCACAACAAACCCCATAAAATGAGAGAAGAGATTTGTCCAAGCCCTGTGTCTCTCCAGTATTGTTGTACAGGACATGACCACCAGACCGCCAAGAAAGCGTAGTCGAAGCGGTCCTCCTTGTGTAAAAACGTAATTATTTAAGAGTAAAGAGAGATCATCATGCTACACGATGTTGCCTGTCAATTTCTAAATAGCTCTTAGAAATCTACCACTTTTTTTTTCTCCAGTCTTCAGTTTAGTCACATTTTTATGCATAAAAGACATATCATCATTTTGCTCTAAATTCCCCGCCCTCCTTAATCTCTCCCACTCCCGAGCAAATTTTTATCGAGTATCTCGGTCTTTCTGCAGGCGTCTTGAGCGGTACTTTCACAACGAGGTGGCCTTACATGAGCTAGACAAAACTCGGACATAGATCTGATAAAACTAAAACAGAGAGTTGAAGGATGGGCAGATTATACCAAGTTCAGCTTGCAGACGTTGTCTGGAGACAATCTGGTCAGAATGTCGCATGCAGCATTCTCTGCCAGGACGGCCTATCCCAGACAGGAAATGAGTCATCGCTCTCACCGGGAGAGAAAAGCTCAAAATCTGAAAAGTCAAAAATTGAATCAAATCGCATTTAAGGTTAGATTTGAGCTCAGCGTTCTCGAAAACCACAATGTGCCTAGATTTGCGATTTTCAGCGTATTTGTCTCCCCCCCCCCCC